ATACAGTACAGTTATATTTATCATTCGGATCTTGTACCTTACATGACATATCTTGGTTCTCATTTTTTCCACATATACCTGTCATCCCTTCACTCCCTCCAACATTCCCTATTTACAAAAACTTTTGTTTCCAGTTTTTCATTGTTTCATATTTTTTCTTTTCCCTTATTTCCTTTCCCCTTACCCTTCCCACTTCCCCTACGCCTTTAGCCTTTTCTTCCTATTTCATATTATCAGTTATACAATTTGGATCTTATTTACATTTTTAGTTTTTCGCACCAGAGAAACTATTCGTTATTTCCACATGTGTGTCCTATTTAATTCACTTAAGAGTATGGCCTCAATATGCATCCATTTTCCTGTGAATGACTCTAGTTTCTCATTCTTTATGGCTGAGTAGTAGTCCACTTTATAGGAAAACCACATCTTCTTTATCCAGTCTCCACCTGATCGGCAATTGGGCTGTTTCCAATTTTTAGCTATTATAAACTCTGCCTCTAAACATGGGTGAGCATATTTCACTGTGGTATGATTCTTTTAATTCTTTTGGAAAGACACCCAGCAGAAGGATAGCTGGGTCAAATGGAACCTCTAGTCCTAGTTCTTTGAGGTATCTCCGTATTGTTTTTTTATGGAAACATTACACATTTTCCAACATATGTATACATCTCCACTTAGTGTATTAAAATACATCAGATTATCTATAATTTAATTTATATTGCTTATTATTTTTTGGCAGTGTAGGGGGATTAACTCCAGAATTTAGTTTGTGCTAGGCAGGCTCTATACTCAGCTACATCCTTGTCCCTGATTACTTACTTGATTTGGCCACACTAGTGTTCCCTGACATCTTTTAGCTGCTTTTATATTTTATCTGAAGTGAACTTTCTCTAATTCTGCAGTTTGTCTTTCTGGGATTTCTCTTCATCTTTATCCTGGAAATTCCCTTTGCTTTCTCTTACATTGAATCTCCTTTTTCTAGGAGTGTATGTCCTCTACTTTTTTTAACTTTTAAATTTTGGTTTCAGATATCTCCCAGTAGCTTTCTGAAAAAGGGTGGTTACATTTTTGACACCTTCCTGTCTGAAAACACCTTATTGTACTCTGTTATCTGATAGTTTGTTATAGAATTCAAGGTTGGAATCAGATTTTCAGTTTACTGAATTCTAGTTTTTCTCTTGATAAGTTTATTCCAATCATATTTGTGATTTTTTTATATAACCTGTGTTTCATCTCTGAAAATTTTGGAAATCACTTTATCCTGACTTCACAAACTTCATTGTTCTGGCTACTTCATGCTTTTCAATTTCATTATGTGTACAATACTTATGTTCTGTAGTGCTAGAATTTTCCTTTTATCACCATCATTTCTTCTCTGCTTTATCTCTTTTTGCATATATCTTGGTTTTAGATATTGACTTTCTTGATTATCTAATTTTCCTATGTCTTCTTTCCTATCTTCCTGTTCTGTGAGTTCTTCAGTCTAAATTTTATTCTACTTTTTGCTTTATTTTAAATTTAAGTACAGCAAAATCAGGATTTTCTTAGAATTTTTGACAAATGCATAACAGGTAACTACTGCTACAGACAAGCTACAAAAAATTTCTTAGCCCTGATTTATCCCTTTCAGCCATTCCTTTGTAATTAACCATTCTCGCAACTGTTAATTACTGGCAACTGCTACCCATTTTCCCTTTAATTTTACTTTTTCCGTATATGTCACTGTTAGTGTAGTCATACAATATGCAGCCTTTTGAATCCTTTATTCGTTTAGTATGATGATGTTTTGAAATTTGTACATGTTTTATGTGTGTTAACATCTTAATTTTACAGTTAGAAAGTATTCTATTGTATGAATATACCACAGTTTGTGCATTCACCAATTGAAGTATGTTTACATTGTTTCTAGTTTTGAGGCATTGTGATTATGGATAATGGTGCTATAAATATTCACATATAGGTTTTTGGGTATGCATTTCTTTTCAGTGGATACCTAAAAGTGGGATTTCTAGTTTGCTGGGTTATATGCTACCTATATTTAATTTTGTAAGAAACTATTAAACTATTTTTAGAGTAGTTGTGCTATTTTATATTCCCACTAGTAACATAATGATTTCATTTGTTTCACATATCTGGTGTTTTTTGTTTGTTTGTTTTTGTACCAGGGATTGAACTCAGGACCTCACACTTGTCAGGCAGGTGCTGTGCTGCTGAACTAAATCCCCAGCTCGTATATCTTTCAACACTTGGTATTGCCAGTTTTAGAAGTTTTTTTTTTTTTTTTTAGCCATTCTAAGCTGTATGTACTTGTATATTATTAAAGGTATACAAATGGTTGGGCTGGACATACAGCTCAGTGGTAGAACACTTCCTTAATGTGCATACAGCCCTGGGTTCAATTTGGTAATAGTACCAAAAAAAAAAAAAATTGCCAACAGACCACATAAAAAGATAAACCACAGTGAAATTCTTCTTCAAAGCTACTAGGATGGCTATAATCTGAAGACAGGTTTACGCAAGGCAGGTCACCGAACTGCTAAGCTAAATCCCGGGCCCAATTTCACCTGTTTTAAGAGTACAATTCAATTAATTTTTAGTAATCGACAGAATTGTGCAAACATCAGTACAAAACAGTTCTGTATTTTTATGCTTGTTTATAGTCAGTACTTATTCCCAGCCCCAAGTAACTATTAATCTGTTTTCTGTCATTGTAGATTTCCCCTTTTGGCATATTTCATGTAAATGATATTATAAATATTTCGGATCATACACCTTTTGCTTTGGTTTCTTTTAGTAAGGGCCAGTTGCTCCACATCCTTTTTAACACTTATATTATTTGTTATACCCATCTCAGTAGGTGTAATGATGTATGCTTTTAATTTTCATTTTCCTAGTGACTAATGATGTGTCCTTTTATGTGCTTAGTAGCCATTCCTATATCTTTAGTGATAAATGTATTTAAATCTTTTGCCCATTTAAAAACTTGGATGGATTTCTTACTGTTGACGTTGAGAGTTTTTCGGTTAGATATGTTTTATGTAAATACTTTTTCCCAGTTTGTGGCTTGTATTTTCACTTCTAACAATATCATTTATAGGACAAAAGTTTTTAATTTTGATAAGGTCCAATTAATTTTTTCTTTTATGTTATATTTAACAACTACTTAACCCAAGTTCTTTGTAGATTTTCTCCTGTTTTCTTCTCAAAGTGTTTTTTAATGAAATTTAATTATATTTCTGAGCACTTATTTATGGTTCAAAAATCAAAACGTACAGAAAGGCATGCAGGGAAGTATACTTGCAACTTTTCTTTTGCTGCCTTCATCTCACAGGGAAGCCAGATTTCCTAGGGCTACACCAAAAGATTATATTTTAGATTTAGATTTGTGATCTATTTTGAGTTAGTTATCATAGCAGGTGTGAGATACATATCTAAGGTTCTTTTAGCATATGAATGACCAATTGTTCCAGCATACTTTTGTCCTTTTACCTTTGAACCTTTGACAAAAACCATCTGACCATATTTGTATGGTTTTACTTCTGTGTGCTTCCCTGTGTTCCTTTTTTCCTCTCTTGTCTTCCTGTTTCTAATTTTTTTAGTCTTTTGTTTCCAATTTTCTCCTATTTCTGGTTTTTTCGCTTTCCTGGGTTTCCCTTCCTCTATATGCTTTTTCAAAATGAAATGTATAAAATTTTATTACATGAAGTTTTATAAACTTTAGTTTTAAAACCAATAGATATACATAATTTGTATTTTTCTTTACTTTTCAGTTATGCTAAAAGTGTATTATTAACTGTATAATTATAACCCTTAATTTCTCAGTGAATTGGTAGGCTTAAAGCTGGTGATCCTTTTTTCCAAACAGTATGTTTACAACTTTGCAAAAGGCTTTACTTCCCCTATATTATGGTTTCATTTTTATTTTTATTAGTATGTATTTACAGTACATAATTAGTATATGTACATGATTACATTCATCAAGGAGTTGATACATGTGCATAGCACATCTTAATTCTTTTGATGTTCTCTGTTTTTAAAAGAGACAAGTTTAAATCAGCATGCTAACAGAAGTTAAGATTTTATTCCTTTATTTCTCATGCTAACTATTCATTCTAAATTACAAGTGATTGTTGATGTCTTTCCTAGCCCTTAAATTATTTAATACTTCAAAAAATTAAAAAATGAATGGGGATTTATATAAAAATAAAACACTTGATGGTGGAATCAAATAATACAAGTGAATGATCCTCTCGTTGGCCCTTAATGTTTTACTTTTCTCAGAATCCAGAACAATTTTTCGGACAAGTACCCTAATACATTGAAACATGTCTCTTATGTTCAACACCTATAAAGTCTTCGATTTAAATTTTTTATTCCATTTTTAAGAAACACTTCTTACATATTCCCTATTAGTCAGAAATTTTTATCAGGTTTTTTTGACACAGCTAAGTTTCTATGATCCTAGCAGAGTTATCAAGAATTAATTACAGGATTATTTCAGCCCCATAACCAAAATATTCAGATAATTGCTTTAGCACTTTAACTATGACCTCTGCCCCTACAAATGAAGGGCTGTCCCTACCCCTTTGATTTTAAAAACATATTCTTAGTGCAAAAAGTGAATTTTTTAGTAGTTAAATTCAGGACACCCCCCCCCACACACACATTTTCCTGAAACTATGAAGGGAGCAGGGAATTTGGGCAGAGACTGGTTGAAAATTCGGACAGAGATCTTAAAGTAGTATGTATCAAACTGCATCCTAAACACCTGAGTCTTATTATAGTCCCCTTTTCTAGTCTCGTGCAGCAGCTGACCTGAATTAAGCTGCAAACTGGGTTTCTGTCTGGTCCCAAAGCTCAGCTGTTTATGTATATGTACTTTTCTCAGCCGTGGGCTAATTGGGTTAATCCCACCCTTCCAAAATATACCTTCTCCCTCCCAGGTTTCTTTCTGGAGTTCTCCATTCCTAGGAGCATTGGCTCTTCCTTTTTTTTCACAGGATCCTGACTTGTTTTGGACAAGCTCCACCCCTTGCTTCTCCTGCTCTTGGGAAGTGCCAAGATTCTGCAGTGCTGACTCCAGCTGCCTTCTGCTTAAACTTTGAGCTGCTTTCCGGAGACCTGCAAACGCAAGCCCTTCTTCCTGCCCTCACTCTTCCCTGCACCCTGCTTCTTCCTTCTTTCCACACTTCTGTTCCTTTTCTCCCCTGTCCACTCCATGCACAATGCATAAAGGATGGAAAAAGTATGGTGGTTCCCAGAAGTCTTTGAATGAGGCATCAATGGATGAATATTTAGGCAGTTTAGGGCTGTTTCGAAAGCTGACTGCCAAGGATGCCTCTTGCCTCTTTCGGGCTATTTCAGAACAGGTAATAGGAAAAAAACGTCTTACCTATTACTGAGTTTTCAGCATTTGAGACATAGCATGGTCCTATGGTGCCTTTTCTGTTTTTTGGTGAAAACATCCATATTTATCTGGAAGTGGCTGTCTGCTCCTTTTTTAGTGCAGACAGTACAAAGGTGTGTTGTGCATTTGCTGTTTAGTACAGATATGTTGCTGTACTTTTGTGATCTTTTCTGTTTTTTAAATATCAATTTGTAATATAGGAGGGATAAGGTGATGGGTTAAAGAAAACATTGAAATGTATCTTCATATTGTAAGCATCCCCAGCTTCTTTGAAGAGTTATGCCTAAGAAAAATAACTTATGCCCCTAAGGGATGGGAAGGGGAAGGGGCTTTATAGAATTATTGTACCTCCCTCCTCCTGTTTCACTAAAGATTAAAATGTTTTTTAGTAAGGTAATTCAATTTCCCTGTGTCTACTTATGTTCTGAGTAAGGGAGATTTTAGTGCTCACTTCATAGTCTTAGAAGTTTCTATTTCAAATGACTTGATAAATGAACTGGTCTTTCTTTTTTAGTTATTTTGCAGCCAGGTCCATCATTTCCAAGTTAGGAAGGCTTGTGTCACATTTATGAAGGAAAATCAACAAAATTTTGAGTCTGTAAGTAAAATTCATAGCTGGGAGAATTATTGGTAATACCTCAAGTGGGAAAATCTTTTGAGTACCTACATTATTTCAGTTTCCTCTTTCAGTGGCAAATACTTAATTCCCACCTGGCTTCTCAGTAGCTAGCAAGCTTCTGGACCTCCTCCCCATGTTAGGTTGTGTTTTACTCTAATTAAAAATTAATAAAAGCTGGGCATGGTGGCTCACACCTGTAATCCCAGCACTTGGGAGGCTGAGGCAGGAGGATTGCTGTGAGGTCGAGACCTGTCTGGGCTACATAGTGAGCTGTAGATTAGTCTCAACTACATTGAGGGACCCTGTCTCAAAAAACAAACAAAAAATTAATAAAAAGCAGTCTGTTTCCCCACTTCTTCCCTCCAAAAACCCCAAATCCTAAAAAGTTATATCTTCACTGCCATTTTGTTATACATACCACTGTTTTCTTAGTTAATAATTCATGAAGCATTTTGCTCTCTTACTATTTTTAAATGCATATTTTAATGTGTGCACAACCTTCAGCCAGTCAATTTGAAGAGTCTTGTAAAACTTAATTGAAAGCAAACAAAGTCGTGACATTTATTTTTTTCATGACAGATTGTGGTAAGTGGATCTTTGTCACTAATGATTGACTTTTAAGTAAAACAACTTTTAGAGGATTTCTTTGTACATTCAAATGTTTGAATTTTAAGTAAACTAGAGGTGTTATCATGGTCTGATATGAAGTGTGCCATTTCCCATAGCTTTTAATTTCTTTTTTTACATTTCTACCCCTTTTGGTACTACTTGTTTTTGGTACTAACTATATTGTGAGTGTTTGGGTGCCTGCTGTTCTAGGTTACTCTCAGCAGGTTTCAGTGTAAATGCTGTGAAAGCTTCTTGATTTTAAAGCTTGTTACTTTGAATTTGATTATAATCTTCACACCTGTTGAAAAGATTGTTTGACATTCAAATGCAAGACTACAGTGAAAAGTAGTTAGTCTTAAGTGTGTTTGGTTTTGTTTTTTTGAGATAGGGTCTTGGTATGTAGTTCAGGCTGGCCTTGAACTCACTATGTAACACACACTCTGGCCTTGAACTCACAGTGATCCTCCTGCCTCAGCCTCCTTAGTGTTGGGATTACAGGCCCGGCTCTCAAGTATTTTTGTGCATATATATCACCTGGAGATCTCTTTAAAATACCAATTTTGATTCATTAGGTCTGATCTAAGGTCTGAGATTTCTGCATTTTTTAACAGATTCCCAAGGGATGCTTGCTGTTGGTTTCTAGACTACATTTTGCTTACGAAAGATATATATAAAATGTTAAAACTAAATGACTGAATCTCTAATCACACTGAATTATAGAAAGCACACATCTCTAAGAAAAAAGTTTTACTGTATGGCTGCCTTTATAACAAGGCTCTAGAAAAATTACCAATATATAGGAACAGAAAGCAGATCAATGATCATATGTCAGTTATACTGGGGCATAAGGAAACAGGTAATAAATTATCTCAGTTGTGATGATGGCTTCATGGGAGCATATAAAATCAAAGTTTATTTGATTGTACTATTTATACAGTTTCTTATAGTTCAGTTGTATCTCAAAACTTTAAAGAAAAAATAAATTGATTTTTGTGTCTAGTAATATATATTTGTGGAACTAAAAATCTATTCCCTGAGTGGTTTTTTTTTGAGGGGGGTTTTCTGTGGTACTGGGGATTGAATCCAGGGCCTTCTCATGGAGCTATATCCCAGGACTGGATTTTTTTTTTGTTTTGCTTTTTTGTTGTTTTGATTTGAGGTAAAGACTAAGTTCTTAAATTTCCTCTGTTGTTCAAAGTTGCTGTCTTCCAGTCTCAGCCTCCTAGATAGAGTGCTGGGAGTACAGGTATTGGCCACCATGCCTGGTCAGTTTAAATTTTATTGAGGTATATTTTATATACAGTAAAATTTAGAATTTTAAATTTAGCATTTTTAGTTTTTGCAGTGATGTACAACAAGCCATCACCATCAATATATGGAATGATTCCATTACCTAAAAAAGTTCCCTTATGCCCCAGGCTTTTTGAAATTAGTGAAATTTCTTTTAAAGTTTCTTAGTTTAACTTTTTAAATATGTCTCCCAACAGATTTAAAATCCGTGTAGTTACTGGCATTGTTTGATTTATTGAAATTGTCAGATGAGTTAAGTTAGCTTTTCAAAAGAAACTCACAGGCATATCAATAGATGAAATGCACAGGTGTATGGATAAGCCAATACCAATTCCTAAGATACTTTCATACTGTAGCTTTTTTCCGCTTAGTTTTGTGTATGTGCAGATCTTCTTGAGGTGCTGTGTACAATAGTTATTTCATACTGTAATTACTGAGCTAAACCAAAAATTCATTGGAGGATAATTTTGCAGAATATAATCTGATTTCTGTAATGGTATATATTTGGTTAAGTCAAGTTTATTTTATTTTTTAAGTATGTGGAAGGATCTTTTGAGAAATACCTGGAGCGGTTGGGAGATCCCAAGGTAAGATCAAGTATGGGAATTTAATCTTTTCAGAGTTATTCCCAATAGTCACCTATATTTTCATCTATGTCACTATAGCCAGACTCTAAATATTTTCTCAAGTGGCCAGCTCTGTTGCATCAAATAGTGTGGAAATTTAGAGGGTGACAGTGGAGTTATTTTGTGTTGAGTATTGAGGATTAAGTATTAATAACATTCATAAAGAACTGTGAGTACAGGAGAAACAAGACATTGTTGAGAAATATTAAAGCCTTTTTAATGAGGGAGGAGAGTGGAAATTAATGTTACTGAGGACATTTTTAAAATTACACAACTCTTGATTTGTTATCTTTTGTGTGGGAGTAAAACACATACTTTAGGAATAATTTTTATGTGGTAAAATTAATTCTATTGTTCTGTATTTAAAATGTGTTTACCAAGTAATCCACTACCTTTGTATTAAATTAGGTCTGCTTTTTATTGTGCCTTTTAGAACTCTTAAATGTCATTATTACTAAATGTCAGAGGCTTTAAATCCATTTTTTTCATTTGATCTTATATTAATGAGTATCACAGTGTTCTAATTCTTAAAACAAGTTACAGTGTTTTATACAAGTGCTTTATCTGATACAGTGCTAAACAGCTAAAAATACTGTTAAATTTTCCAAAACTACTTCCTAGGTATGAAATATTTTTTAAAACTCTGTACTGTTTATATTTAGGAAAGTGCTGGCCAGCTGGAAATACGAGCTCTTTCTCTAATTTATAAGTAAGTTGTGTCCCCTTTTCTTTGAGAGAGAGTATACATATAAGATTTGTTAAAGTCCTTTTAGGACTGGGGAAAGAAATTTGAGATGTGATATATTGATAATGTAAAGAAGTATAAGCAAAACCAGTTTGATACAGTGTTGGGTGGAGAAACTTGGTACAGATGCTCTCCTTACCTCTAGCATTTGTATCTGTATGGAAGAATAAGAGACTTTTAAGAACTACTGGTATTTTCTGTAGGAAATCAGAATATTTATCTTTGAAGAATTTTTGGGTATTCGTGCTTTTTCATGCATTCTCAGTGGGGCAGTATTGCTTCTAGTAAGTTAGAAATTGTCTTGGGGGTGCTGGGGATTTAGCTCAGTAGTTCTAGTGTAAGGACCCGAGTTTGATCCCTGGTACCAAAAAAAAAAAAAAATAGCTTCGGGAGGAACAAAATCTTAAAATACTATATCCCATTAATTTTTTTGGTCCCTCAAAGGGTCATATACATAAACAGATACATAGGACCTCTGTGATACTAAACTTTTGCGTAAGAAAAATATTAAAAGGTTCCTTTGGGGGATGATAATGGAAAAAATGAAACACCATTCTATTGCTTTTAAAGTTCTGTTTTTTGGTCTCTAAAACTAAAAATAGCCTTTAAGAAAGGAAAAAATGAGAACCAAGACTTCTCATGTGAAGGTACAGGATCCCAGTAATGAATGTAACTGTACTGTATACCTAAAATGTACCAATAAACTCAAAAGAAAAAAAAAGCTGTAGAGTTCTGAAAAATAACTATATAATGTAGGTTAGAGGCTAGTGGAAATCTTGTTAATTTGAGGAGACTGATCTATGTAAGACTCCTTCATAGTTTATAGCAGGGTGAGTTGGTGTATACCTTGTTAAAATCAGAACTCTCATATTGTTTGCAGTCTGCTATTTCTCATTAAGTCAGTATAGGCAAGTATTAGACAGGTAGCCAATCATTTGTCTGTTTTAAATCAAAAGTCACCTTTTAAATTGAACTACTTCCTGTTTTGTCCCTTGAGATAAGAATGATTATTAAACATTTTTAAGTAATTAGTCAAAAGGATGTTTGATGGCATGTGTAAATTATATGAAATTCACTGTCCATAAATAGAACTTTATTGGAATACAGCCATGCTTATTCATATGTGCATAGTCTGTGGCTGCTTTCAAGCCACACAAAACAAAGTTTTGAATAAACCATATGGCACCCAAAAACTGAAATTTTTATCATCTGGCCTTTTTACCTTTCCCAAAATTGCTAAGGCCTGCTTTTTAAGTGAGAGAGCCCCTACTAAACTCATATACATATAACTGGTAAATTATCTTCTTTACTCTTTGCTCTTCTACCCCCAAATAAGATGCACTTAGAAAAATTCATAAAATCTCATTGTTTACCTTAAATTAACATCCTTTAGACTCTATGTTATATTAAAACCAAATAACTGAACATAGGAATTATTTTTTATGAATGAGTCAGTTTAAAAGCACAAACATTTGTTCTTATAAGTATTTTTGTATATGCTAAATTAACTCTTCATCCACATTTGTTTTCTGTCCATACAGTCGGGATTTCATTCTTTATCGCTATCCTGGAAAGCCACCAGTTTATGTCACAGATAATGGCTATAAAGACAAGGTAAGAATATATTGAATAAAATAGAATGGTGCTGCTAGCTTGTCAGGATATTAAGTAATCTTTTTAAACGTAAAAATAATGAAAAAATAAATGCAGTCTAAATGACAAAATTCTGTGCCATCAGTCTCTTCCTCACCAGTCAATCATCTTCAGTGGTAGGAACTTTGTCTATTCTTGTTCCTCCTCTGTAGTAGAAAAAAATGAAGCTAACCAGATTAGTGGCACATACCTGTAATCCTAACCCTCTGAAAGTCTGAAGTAGGAGGATTATAATTTCAGGCCCACACTGGCCAGTAACTGAGACCCTGTCTCAATAAAAATTTTTAAAAGCATTGAGCGTGTAGGTCAGTGAAAAGGTCCTGGGTTCATTTCCCAGAAATGGGGAAAAAAATAAAACTGAAGTTAGGTAATCAGTGATCTAAAGATACTTTCTGGTTTCCTTATCTTCTACCCTTACCATACCATTCTTCCACATAGTCTGATCTTCCTATTTTATGTTCCTTTGAACTTTCACTGTTTTTCTGAAACTTTTCCAACTCCCTTTTAATTTTCCTGGCCAGTTCCCAAGAACAGTTATTATATTATTTATCACATTATGTTTGCATTCATGTCCATTCTCTTATTAGTCTGAAGGTGTCAGAGCAGGGACAAGATTCTATGTAGTAAAGTGCTTGGACAATAGTAGGAGGTAGTTTTGTTGTGTGAGAAGACTCAGCATATAAACTCACTGTTTTTCAGCATATAACTATTCTTTGAAAATTTTTTAAGAAAAGCCCTTTTTTTCCAGAGTATTTTATTAGTGAATATAGGACTATCCACTATTTGGGTCTTAATTCACACCATGGAACACAATTCAGGCAACATATTAATCATGGTAAGACAGTACTACATACTTGGAGAACTCTTAGGTTGCTGTTATAGTAATCTAGACAATAGATCTAAACTAAGAAAGAAATGTTAGGAAGAATACTGAGTATGTGGTCACTTAAAAGATAAGTATAACTTGTAACACTGTTGTTTAGCTAACGTTAAGCCCCTATAGCATAATAGGTACTTTTCTGGGCTTCAAGGATTCCAAAATGACAGTATTTAAATTTTTGTCTTCTAAGGGATTAAGGGGCTATGAGGACTGATATAGAAATAGTGAATTAAAACAAAGTGATAAGTTTTATAAGAGTATGTAAAAGGAATATAAAAGAAAACTCTCTGCTTGAGGATTAGAAAGCTCCGTGGTGGTAGTGACTCATAGGAAAAGGAGTCAATCACATGTGAAAGGCAGTACATTCTGAGGAAACCCTATATTGCAAAGTCTTGTATTCCAGCGACCCTCTGAGACTTAAATTGAGGGTCAGTGCTGAAAAAGTAGGCTAGAATTACATAATGAGGGGATAGAATAGGCCATGCCAAAGAATTTGACTTTTCATTATGCAGAATAGTCAATTGATGCTTTTTTACAGTATTTTGTTATGAAGATTTTCAAACACACAAAAGAATTTTACAGTGCACATTTCTGTACTAGCTACCACCACCTAGAATCTACTGTTAACATTTTAGTATCCTTTTATCAATTATACATCCCTCTATCCATTTACTAATTCATCTTACTCTCTTGATCTATCAAGTAAATTTAGACATTGGTACACTTGATCCCCAATGCTGATTGACAGTTTTTAGGGAAATGTGTATCATAATCGGAATTGTTTGAGAAAAGAAGAGTGCTAGGTCTTGTATTTGAGCAATTGTATAGAGTAGCGATGGCAAACCTTATAGAGCTTTCCATGATAACAAATAGCCTTCTGTAACACATGTGCCCTAGATTCACCACCACTGGTATAGAGCATACCTTGTGATGAGATTTGGACATTTGGATTTTACCAGAAATTTTTTTTGAGACAGGATCTCGTTCTGTAATTTAATCTGGCCTTGTATTCACTATGTAGCCCAGGCTGACCCAAACTTGCAGTGATCCTCCTGTGTTTTGCCTAAAACTTTGTTGCTGTTTATGTCTCAGTTTAGACTCCAAAGATGTGCACTTGAATTGTTTGAGTGTTCAAAAAAGACTACATTAAAGGTAGTGAACATGGCCAATAACCTTTCCAAAACATATTTTAAAACAAACTTTCAAAGAAATAAATATCTAATGTTTACCTGGTGCCTTCCACTTTTTATTCTTTCTTAACTCTGCCTTCTACATACCAGTAGTTATTTTCAACTTCCTAAATAATTCAGTGTCAAAGTGAATGCTACTGAAATCTAGCCATTTTCACTCACTTTACTTGTTCTGTCTAGAAAAAATAGAAATACATACTTATATTGAAAACAAACCAAAACTTACATCTGGCAATACATGTTGTCCCCATTGATGGTCTTCAGTCGCATGAACTTCAAGGTGACATGTATCAAATACTGGTATATGTCCTTGTGTATCATTCTCTTTGCATTTGTTTTTTAAAGGGCTTACACTTAACATTCTGCTCCGATTCAGTTGTCGCATTCTTCGCTAGTTTACTGCTACCCACCCTACTTGGCTGCTCCCAAACAAATTACCACCCATGAGTGTATATGAGAAAATTACTGTTTTTATGTTGGCATACCACCAGAAACATAAAACAGCCCTCATGCCTTACTTTATCTCTTCTATCAAAATGTAACTTCTTACCACTGGAATGGAGAAATTCTACAATCATCTGTTTTTCCCCTCTTGTAAACTGCTTAATTATTCATTGGTTATGGTTTGTTGCATTCCTTTACTTCTCAAGAATAACTTCTAGTTTTTTAATCTTTCTTAGTTGAAATTCCCAATTGTAATAGCCCAAAGCATAAACAGCTTCTCTACTTAAAAATCTGCTCACTGTTTTTTTAGGTTAATAAGTTTTCTTAAATGCAAATACCCCTTGTGGTGGGTGAAACCTATTTATAAAGTATAACTTTAACTACTTTTAAGTTAATACTTGCGCTCAATGTTTTGAAGTGGACATAGTTGAAATATTTATTTTTTAAAAGAGGATAGGGTGGCTAATAGGCCTGTCATCCTAGCACTTGGGAGGTTGAGGCAGGGGGATCAAGCAAGTTCAAGGACAGCCTGGGTTACATAGTATAGTGAGTGAGTTCAAGGACAGCCTGCACTATAAAGCAAGACCCTGTCTCAAATGAAAAAGAAGGAAGGGTGGGGGGATGCTAGCAAAAAAACAGCATTGGGATCAGAGAATTTGATTATGGGAAAAGTTAGCTTGGTACTATAGGAAGGTAAAACAGTACTGAGAATATTTTTCTGCCAAGTAAATTTGGTGGCAACATCTTCCATAGATCACAGAATCTTCACTACCTCAGATTGCTGACATATTACAGATAAGTTAAAAATAAAAACAACTTTAATTACCAGGGATTATATTTGCACAGGAAACTTTTTAACAAATTAAAGGTTTTAGAGTTACTATATAAGTTGCATCACCCCAAGCCTTTGACTAATAAGCTTGGCCTTTTATTTTTATTTTTGTTTTTGTTTTTGTTTTTGTTTTTTTGAGACAGGATCTCACTATGTAGTTGAGTCTGACCTGGAACTCACTATGTAGCCCAGGCTGGTCTCGAACTCCCAGCAATCCTCCTGCCTCATCCTCAGCCTCCCGAGTGCTGGGATTACAGGTGTGCGCCACCATGTCCGGCTGGCCTTTTAATTTTTTTAATTAAAAAGACTAAGGATTGAGGGAATCATCTAAGAAATAAACCTACCCCCCAATTTTTTTGTTACTATCTGACTGCCTTAATTCATTAAAAAGGTCTGTTATCAGTATCCATCCTATATAATGTATTGATATATTGTCATTCCGTTTTAATAGATAGTCTGTTGAATAAATTGCTTTAAATGAACTTCCTTTTCTCCCTTCATCTGAGTGGGTTATTTAGGCATTTGACTTAGATATTAAGATAAGACTTCGGGCATCTGTTAGGCTTTCTGTTATGGTTAGTAATCTATAAACATTGCTATGTTAATGCATATTTGTAAATCAGAACTTGTTTGGTGTATTCAGGAAACATAATTGAGGTTTACAGTTTAACTTTTTAATCTTGGCATTTAAAAGTTGTTGATATGAAAATCTCTTAATGAGATAGCTTGTATTTAACACGTTAATTTTTCAAAAAAATCACTTAAATTGATAAATCATTGTTATTGATTGCCAATTAATTTTAAGTTATCAATCTCATTTTGTGATTGTAAAACATAAAATTAATCGTTTTTTGTTTTTCTTCAGATTGTACTCTGTTATTCAAGCAGTGGTCATTATGATTCTGTGTACTCAAAACAATTTCAATCAAATGCAGCTATTTGTCAAGGTATGTGAAAGATTTATAAATATTTGGTGATTTCAGATAATTTGTTACTAGTCTTTAATTTGAGGAACTCACTAAATATAGCTCTTTTATAACCTTACTGTTACTTAGAAAGTTTTTATCCTGGGTTATTACTACTTTTGCATTGTTAAAAAGTTAGTAAGTCTTATATCAATTGTGGTTCTGTCCCTTTTTCATACTTTAGCTGTATTGTATGAGATTCTCTATAAAGATGTGTTTGTCGTGGATGAAGAGGCATTGAAAACTGCAGTTCAGTTGTTTCGAAGTGGTTCTAGGAAGAATAGAAACAACGCTCTGACTGGAAGTGAGGATGCCCAAATTGATTACGAGAGTTCAATGCAGAACAGGTAATAAAGAGAAAGGGTATGTTAACTACATGATAATTGTATTTCCTATTTGTGTGTAAACATGTGAGAGGGACCTAGCAAGCTCATGACTTAAATTACCTGTATACACATACATGTAAATGTATATTAGGAGTTTGTTTTTTAATGAAAGGAAAGAAGTTATGCCAAAAATAGACTTCATGGATTCTGTTCATCATGATCCATTTTTTATTACTAGAAGAGACTTACAACTATCTAATTCTGTGATTCTCAAACTTTAGATGTATATGAATTACTCAGTACTTGTTAAAAAGGCAGATCCCTGGGTCTGCCCTCACAAAATTTGAGTTCAGAATGGGTAAGAACTCTGCTTAAAAAAAATGCCTAAGTATGTTGGTGCAGGTAGGCTGTGGACTATACTTTGAGAAGAAACTGATTCTATCCACAATAATTTTTGAAATGGTAACAGATTCGGTGGTTACTTAATATAGACATTCAATTAATAGAAAGCTCTCAGGCTGACAGGAGTTTTAGCCGCTTTGAAATGTCTTCCTTTGGTGTGCACTAGAAATGTAGATTGTGTGCCTTTGAGGAAGCAGCTTTTATTTAGTAGGTCTAGTCAAAAATTTTGCATTTTAAACAAAGTGACTGTTATGTTGTCTTATATTCTTGTTTCTTATTCCTGATTCCTAGTTAAGACCAGAAATTGGTACGGGTTTGTTGCCAGACTGGTGTCATCTTGTGTTTTAGTCTTGTAGTTCTATTTCTTTGACATTTAATACTTGCATCTTTTTTTTCTTTTTGATAGAAGATGATTTTTTAAAACTAATTTGGAGTTCTAAGGGTAGCAATCATATATCAGGGCAAAAATTGCTTCATTCTTCACTGATTACTGAAGGTCTTTAGGCTTATGGAAATTGTAGTAGGAAGGCAAAGTACATTATGTAGTGCTGTAATAACTACAAACTTGGCAGTTTAAAACAGCATACTTTTCTTATAATTTATGTGGGTTAGGAATTTAGGTATGGTTAAACTGGGAACTCTGAGGATCTCATAAGATTGTAATGATGATATTGACCAGAACCCAGTCTTATCTGGAGCTTTGGGAAACTTTCCCCCAAAGATTCTTGGTAGCATTTTGTTCCTTTCAGTTGTGGGAAGAGCTTCATTTGTTTGTTTGCAATTATTCAGAAGTAGCCCTTACCTCCTTTCCACATTGAGTTGATGAATGTGGCTGCTTACTGTCTTGTAGGCAGCTGAGGAAAGACCAGAAAGATGGGTGCTATATTCTGTTATATTTTAAACACCTAAGTCCTGTCTTGCTTGAGTAGATGCTAACTCAAGGTGAGGGGAGTCACAAAAGGGTGTCAACACTAGGAAGCAGGATTGTAGAGACCATCTTAAGAGCGTATCCTCGCAGAAGATAATCTGCTAAGTAAGTGTATTATAGCATATCCTTATGAAAATGAAAGCATAATGCAGATATTGAAGTAAAAATGTTATTTGCGTCATTTTTTAAACTACCACTAGGTGGGAGTATAGTCATTAGACATGAGACAAGGAACTACATCTGTATAAAGCTCTTTGTTATAACTAATTCTTTTTGATTAGGACTGAAGAGTGGGGTGCTGGCTGCAGTATTCAGAATATACAAGAGGACTATAATCAAGGAATGGAAGAATTGAAGGTTTGATATTTTCTAAGGCAAAGAGTTGCCATACTGTTGGGTTGTAGCATCATAAAGATAGTTAAGATTAAAGTGGTCCATTGTAATTATATGGGACAGGAGGAAGAATTGATCCTGTTTTTCTTTATGGAAGTTCTGTGTATTAAAAAATGTAAACTGTGTGCTTCATTTTCTCTGAATTCTCATTATTAAGGAACTTGAGATTTTTCAAAACAAACTGCATTTAGAGATGTTTCAGAAGCTTTTGTATTTTTGAAGTCATATTACAGACTGAACATTTAGTCTTGATCCTAAGGTTACTTTTTTTTCATTAAAGAATGAAATGCTCATCCCTGTCCTATCCAAAGAAAGTAGGTGCTAATCCTAGTCTTTTAAAGTTGGAGAAATAGAGTTTTACCATCTGTATAAGCCTAAAATCAAGTAGGCCTTCACCTTGAGGCTAAATAAATAGGACAGATGCTATTACAATGAAAAACAACAATTTATATGTATGTCAAGTGCTAATTGATTTTGAGACTATTCAATATGGTAAAGTTCTAGAAAAGCAGAAGAAAGCTGGTAGTTCTTTTGGAAATTATAATACAATTTGACCAAAAGAAAGTAAGCTTTTCAGATATATTCTTTTGCATATTAAGATAACATTTGTTTCATAACTCTGACTGAATTTTTAATCTTGGTCTATGTGACATTAGTTTATGTGTCTGGACTTGACAGTACTCCCTTCTGTCATCTAAAACCTTTTGCATTATTTGCATTTTACTTTTTTAGTTTTCCTATATTTAAAATACATAGTAAAATTTATTTTGATATTTCTTGTTTTAATAGAGGGGAAGGCAGGCATATACAATGATACCTCAGTTGTTGAGTGGCTCCAAGCTTGAACTTTCCATTACTTGAATAGCAAGTTAAAAAAAAATCTACTTGGTGTCTGTAACTTTGCTCAATAGTTGAACTAAAAATCCAACACACACACAAAAAAATATTTGGTCCAAGAGTGAGTCACACTTTGCTGTGGACACAAAGGGATGATGCTTCAGTCTTAGGTGCTGCCCTTGCCCAAACAGTATATAGTGCTTGTGTTAGTGTGTTAAAACATTGTGCTTTTTTGGTGTTTATTTGTGTAAAATGTCATAACCAAGGCTCCAAAGAAAGCAATACCAGCAATAAAGTTAAGAGGAAAACTGAGAATCAAGATAGAGTTGAAGAAAGAAATCATTGCAAAAATTGGTAAAGTCCTGGAAAGATGAATTTATGAGTGTACTTTTTGGGCCTCAGAACAAATCATTTGGTTTTCTGTTCTTTAAGAAAAAATATGTTCAGTGCTCAAAGTTTTTGGTGTTTGAATACACATTTGGAACAGATTGAGCTTGACAACTGAGATATCGCTGTATACTGTACATATCTTAAAAAAAGGCTGAAAAATATCTTAATGTTTCCTTCATCATAGAAGGAAAACTTAAACTAATGATGGAAGTTTTGTGGCATGATTGATTATTTCTGTTTTAGTCTCCAGAAAATCCATCAAAGATCCTCTTCCCCTATAAAGTGCTCAAAGCTCTGGATCCAGAAATCTATCGTAATGTAGAATTTGATGTTTGGTTGGACAGCAGAAAAGGTATGCATTATCAACAGGATGCTTTGGAATCCTGACAGAGCTGGAGAATAGTTTTGCCAGCCGTTTATTGTAAGAGACATCTTCAACATACTGTTAAAAAAAATAACAGCCTGGGTACTTGTCATCTTATTACAATATCATTTAAATCTGGAGGAAGAAGGAAATAGAATTAGAAATGAGGAGGAAGCCGGGTGTGGTGGCGCATGCCTGTAATCCCAGCACTTGGGAGGCTGAGGCAGGAGGATTGCTGTGAGTTCGAGACCAGCCTTGGCTACGTAGTGAGTTCCAGGTCAGTCTCAACTACATAGTGAGACCCTGTCTCAAAAAAGAAAACGAAAAAAAAAAAAAAAAGAAATCAGGAGGAATGTTATTATAGCCCAATGCTTGTCTAGGATTTCACCTTTACAGGGCATGTAGAGGTAGCTTATAGATACCCTTAAGAGTACTAGAAACTTTAGTGACTGGAAACAGGCTCATCTGAAATGTAAAGTGTCAAGATCATCCTCATTGATAAATAAGTAGGTCAGGCCTGTGGAACAGATCTAACTCCATCATCTGTTTTTGCTTGGTCCGTGAGCTAAGAATGCTCTTTATATTTTAAATGGCAGGAGATAATTAAAAGAGCATGTGAAATTATAAAATTCAAATTTCAGTGTTCACAAATGAAGTTTTATAATAGAGTTGGTAATTCTGACTATGGCTCAAACAATCTGAAATATCTGCTGTCTGGCTCTATACAAAGAAATTTATCCATTATTAATCTGAAATTGTTTATCTCTTTATATATGATAACTAAATTGATTGAACTAGGTCTTAAAATACTGTCTTTAAGATAAGCTTTTAACACGTTTCCACCACCCTGAACCACAGATGGCACATGCCATTATGACTGACTGTCCTATCAGGCAGCTTGTACCACCAGTGGTATGTGCATGACTATCCTTTTGAGTGGCTTGTACCACCCGAAAAAGACTGTCATGCATGCACCACTGGTGGTTCATTCACAGGCAATGAGACATGAGTTACAGCTGTCATGCAGTGTTAAATGTTTTATATTCAACTCCTTGAACCTTGGTGAAACTTGATATAGTTAGAGTGAGGTTAAGACTTTATGTAATACAATAAATTGTTTAAAAAACTTAGCCTTGGAAGAAGCTGCATAGTGTTACTGTACATTTATAGTGTTTGGCCAACATTAAGATTATAAACACCCAATTTCCACCTGTTTGTGTTTTAAAGTACAAAACTGTTTTGGCAAGTCTTGGCCCTTTGGTACTTTCTCCCACCATTTTAATTTGCATTTTAACTTTTACTGTTGTCAAAAGTACTATATAAAAGTAAATGGTAAATTAAATAATATAAAGTAGGAAAGGAGCCAATTTAATTAAGCTTCAATCTTCCTTTTTTTTTTACTAGAACTTCAAAAATCTGATTACATGGAATATGCTGGAAGACAGTATTATTTAGGAGACAAATGTCAGGTTAGTTCCTTTAAAGAATAAATAATTTGTTTCTCCAAGATGATTAAATTAATTAAAGTAGGTCTTAAAGTACTGTTTTTAAGATATGTCTTTAACACGTTCCTACCATCTTGAACCACTGATGGGTGATACATGCCTGCATGACTGACTGTCATGCCAAGAGATCTCATTGCCATTTAGTCATTAAAATGAGTTGAACAAAGCTTATTCACAAAAAGCTAGAAATTTTAATGCTAGAAATTCACAAAATGCTATTAAGTTTTAATTACAAGCTTTTGTGATGATTAGCTGTAAGACTTTCTAGTACTGTGTTGATGTCAGTTACTTTAAAAAAAGCAGACATTGAATTCCCTTTGAGGAAAAGTGATGTTTTTGTTTGGCAGAAGCCAGCTCTGTCAGTATACTTAACACTAGATATATCACTGTATCTTCCTGTCCATTAGGTTTGCTTGGAATCAGATGGAAAATATTATAATGCTCATATTCAAGAAGTTGGAAATGAGAACAATTCAGTGACAGTTTTCATTGAAGAACTGGCAGAAAAGTAAGAATATAAGAATTAAGTTACTAAAATCGTTGGCTTCTGATGCCTTTTCATAATATTGAGAATTACTAGTATGCTAGAAAGAGAATCAGTTATTTCGAGTATTGGACGAATTATCTTGAATTATAAAAGCATTGCTAAAGTTGTTAAATCCTAATATATTAGGAATAATCCTAGTTAATAGCTAACTTTTAGAATCATTAAATTAAGGACAATAGAATTTCTATATAAAACTGTTCATAGCAATTGGAAAGTGGCTTGTTGAGTTTCTGCCAGTATCAAGATAAGCTAATACAGTCTTTTTCAGATTTTTGTCTGGAAAGCTTCCAAGGTCACAGATGAGTCCAAACCCCAATGTTTCTGATTCAGTTGTTCTGGGCCTAGGGCCCAATAATTTGAATTTCTAATGTTTTCCAGGTGTTGCTAATGCCATTGTTCCACCTTAACCATTAAATTAGGCTATGCTGACTAATGAAAAAAGATTCTCAGCAGTTAAAAACAGTAAAGTTCATTTCTTAGTTATTTAGCATGTCTACACTGAGTCAATAAAGGAGGACCCAGGACAACAGAGATTTTGTATTGACATATGCTTCCATGGTCACAGGCAAGAATAAAAATAAAACATGACAGGCCACTTGCTGGTTCTTAAAGCAACTCATGTTTTATTAGGTAAAGTAAATGGTTTACATGGCCAAGCCTGATATCAGTGGAGTGGGGAAGTAGTTCCTCCTCTAAGGAAGGGGAGCAAATGTTTATGAACTAATACAGTATACCACATTCTTTTTCTGGATATGTGATAGGTACTCCAAACAACTGTGAAATTGTACAAACTACTCAGGTTTTCCAGCCTAACAACAATAACGACAGGAAACCTAAATATGGAAGTTAATGTTGATAGGTTTAAATAAAATATACTAAAAAAGGAAGCAGGAGGGGGTAGGATATTTGTGAATGAGAATTTAGTCTGTTATAATGGCTTCATGATAGTACCTTTAACTTTTAAGGCATGTTGTTCCATTGGCTAATTTAAAAGCAGTTACCCAAGTGACACCTGTTTCTACCTGGAGTGCTATGTCCAGTCGGAAAGGAAGAGGTTACCAGAAAATGTCTACAGGCTATTTCCCAGAAATGGGTTTGTATGCTAAAGACTTTTATCTTTCCTTTTTTGTAGTCCACTCTTACTTAAATATGTGGTACTTTTTAAAAAAGGTATGTTATATGTCTCGTTGCAGGGAAGAATGATTTCTTACTTTCCACACTATTGGCATTTTGGGATAGCTGATGCCTTGTTGGTTGGTAGGGGGGCTTTCCTGTGCCTTGTAGAATGATCCCTGGCTTTTACCCACTAATGCCAGTAGCACCCTCTGCCTAGTTCTGACAATCAAAAATATCTTCAGATATTGCCAAGTGTATCCAGATGGGATGATGTGGTCAAATTGTCCCAGATTGAGAAACCACAGTTCTTGGTGACTTTATGTAAACTTAAGCTGATAGAGATTTTAGAGTCTAAAACTTGAGGGGAAAATATTTTTCAAACAACTAGGAAGGCACCTCATAGGAGCACCCAGAGATAATAAATAAACAACCTCTTGGAGAATAATAATATAGGTCACTGGATGACTCAAATGATCTGATGACCAAGGCTGCCTATATTAAAGAGAGTACTGAAATACACGTTAATACAAAAATTACCTGCTGGTTTTGCATTGCAAATGGAAGATCTAGTACAGAAATTCTCTACCTGTAGTTACTTGAGTCCTAAGAAAAGTATTTGAGAATTTAAAGGAGTGTGAGAACGCTAGACCTTTTGCTTTGGTTATGATCGTATTTACTACTTGTTTGTTTGAAAGCTATGCCAGAGATGGACATGAAGCAGCGGAAGAAGATGTTTAAGAAATTTCGAGGAAAAGAGGTTTATATGCCAATGGCTTACAACAGGGAAGATTCCCTCCCTTCGCCCAGACTTCAACACAGTATGCATTATGGTCATGACCTTCCACTGCCCTACTCAGAAACAGCTGCCAATGTTATGTGCAATGAAGAGTTTCATCCTCAATACTCTTCTCACAGACAAGGCCGAGGGTATGGGATACCCAGGTAGAACTTAACTGACTTTCATGATAATGTGTCTTTGCTTAGAATTAGAAATAATTCCAAGATAGAATTATAGGGGAATTGAGAAATACCTTAATAGTTTAGATATCTTTTATACCCTATGCCTAAAGAGAGCATAGAGCTAACGGATGCTTAAATTCTTGTCAAATAAATTCATTGTCAGGTTTGTATTCTTATAGTGTTAGAGAATTGTGAAGCAGTTGAACAGATGCTCAAAAATAGAATGCCATGAAAATGAGTGTCTGTGTGATATATGACACAATATCCATTAATAACATATGATTAATAGCATTTTGGGGAAAAGTAAAACATTTTCTAGTTGTGTGTTTTCAGGAAAGATTTTTAATTCTGTTTAACTACAGAGACTAAACAGAATAAAGTGTTCTTTTTCTTTTCTCTTTATTCTCAGGGATTCATCCTGTTTTATAAATAGGCACAATATGTCAAGCCCTAAATTTGGTTTTTACCCTGAGCCAGGTAAAAGGTACTGCCAGAGCTTTGATAACTTCTCCTATAGATCTCGGTAGGTATTAAAGTTACAAAAAATAAGTAAGTCTAGTTTCACTGCTGAGGAATGATAATATGGACTAATTTTTAAAATAACAAACTTTGAAATATTTGAACTGTTACTTAGAAATTAGAAATAAATTACTATATTTTATCATATTCCCTTTTTTATTTTCCAAAGTTCCTTTAGACGTAGTCACCGCCAGATGCATTGTATGAATAAGGAGTGCCATTATGGCTTGGCCCCAGAGAATGAACAGATGCCCAGTGGCTTGGAAGAAACTGTTACTTTTTATGAAGTTGAAGAAGGAGATGAGACTGCTTATCCGACTTTACCTGTAAGTACATCAAAACTTGACCCAAAAAGCTATTTACTTTTTTCTTTTTTTGGTAAAGGTAATGTGTATTAATTTTAAGGTTTTGCTATGTACAGCTAAAGAAAATCCTTCTTTGAAAACATGACCTTAGGTGTCTTAAAAGATGAGAGAAGAGACTTTCTTAAAGTTGATCTCAGAGAAGTGACTAGAGATAGACATCTTGCCTATATATATGGATTAATATTTTGTTTCCTTTATCATTAGTTCTTTGTGTTTTTTATTCCAAAGTACAGTTTAAATATTTACTCAAAATACTTAGACTTCTCCTGCAGCAGCAGTTCAGTGTTAGTCTAGTCGTGGCCAATCTAAGGCACATGTGCCACAGCAGGCTGTTTGTATCATTGAAAGCTCTAAAAAGTTCACCATCACTGGTTTAGTTTCCTTAACTGACTTTCAGAACATTCCTCTAGGTTTTGTTTTTTTTTGTTTTGTTTTTTTTTTTTTTTTTTACTATATAAGGAGAACTGCATGTTTATATGTCTGTTTTTGGTACAGAACTATGGTAGTCCCTCTATGATGGTTCCTGCTACTTCAGGATACTGTGTTGGAAGGCGAGGACATAACTCAGGAAAACAGACTTCAAATTCAGAAGAGGGCAATGGCCAGAGTGACAATGGTGAGTCAATTAGTGTTAAATATTTTGAAAAAGATAGTATGTTAAGGCTATAAAGTAAACCAAAGTTTGGTTTGGGGATTGTCTCCTTTCTATTTTTATTTTTTGGTACCGATGATTGAACTTGGGTCCTTGTACTTGTGAGGCGGGCAGTGGAACCACTAAGCTAAACCCCCAGCCCTCTCCATTTTGTTTTGAATAAGAGTTGTAAGTCCTTTTCTCAGCTTGCTGGGTTTTGGAAGATGTCCTGGTATTTCTCAGAAGAACAGACTTATATCAGTAAACTAACTACTACATTGTTACAATGTATTTTCAGCTCTGCATAGATTGCTAGTGAGTTTTGATTTGATAAAATATCAGTTTGGAAAACATCTGTTCATTATTAGTAAGGTGCTAGTCGTAGTTGTCCTCTCCATTTGTATACTTGCGGCTTTTCATGAGATCAGCTCTTGTTTTACAAGACTGTTATACATTTTTCACCCAAAGTATTCTACTAGATTTATAAACATTACTATTTATTGAATCCTGCTGGGCGTGGTGGTGCACGTCTTTAATCCTAGCACTCAGGCAGCTGAGGCAGGAGGATCGCTCTGAGTTCCAGACCACCTGGGCTACATAGTGAATTCCAGGTCAGTCTCAAATAGATAGTGAGACCCTGTCTCAAAAAAAAATTCATTGAATCCTATGTGCCATCTATTCTAATGAAGTATTTACTGAGAGATGTAGCACTATTTTATGTAGGGGAGAAATTGAGAGTCAAAGGCAAATTGTTTATGGCTAAGGTCATATGCATGATAAATAGTAGAGGTATCTTTTTTTGTAATAACTTTCTGAGATAAAATTTATACACAATTTACTTATTTAAAATGTACAATCTAGTGTTTTTTGGTATATTCAGACTTACATAACTATCATTAGCTTTAATATGAGGGCATTTTTTAATCATCCCAAAGAGAAACTCCATACCTGTTAGCATCTATTAATTTACTTCCAACTCCCTACCCCCAGCCTTTACCAATTACCAATCTCATTTTTGTCATTATGAATTTGCCTATTCTGGACATTTCGTATAAATGGAGGCATACAGTATATGGTTTTTTTGTGACTGGCAGAGATAACATTTGAACTTGGATTTTGTCTAAAACTGTACTTATATACTAAACAGTTTTGTTACCTCTGATTATATAGTGTGTTTATTTTTACCACTAACTGTTTTTATTTCTCATTGAGTTTATTGGTACGTTTTAGGTATACAGTACAGTTACATTTATCATTGGGATCTTGTACCTTTACATGACAGCTCTTGGTTCTCATTTTTTCCCCATGCCCCTGCCATCCCTTCACCCCCTCCTCCCTTCCCTATTTACAAAAACTTTATTTCCATTTTTTCATTTTCTCATATTTTTTTCTTTTCCCTTACTTCCTTTTCCCTACCCTTCATACATGCCTATGGAAACAATTCTGGATGATGGAGTGGTTTAAGGAGGTATAAGGCATTCTGTATGACTTGGCTTTACTAAAAATTGTCATATTTTCATGTATTCTTTCTGCTACTTATACAGAAGAAAATATGTTAGATCTTTCTAGGAATTTAATGAGGACAAAAATACAGTACATAAATGGTATGGGAAAACTACGTGCATGTAAATATACACATACGTTCAAGGGAGCTTACTCTCTACTCTTTTTTTCAGATACCACTTGTCTTTTCCTTTTAGCCCCTGTACATAGCTTCAGTATTACTCACCTGTTGTGGCATATTTGCAGCAACCAAATCTTTTTTCTCACCTTTAATCCTGCTGCCATCTGAAGTAGTTTCATGCCTTCATGATTGAAAAGTGATATGTTTAAGAATCAATACAGTTTATGGCCGGACGTGGTGGCGTACGCCTGTAATCCCAGCACTTGGGAGGCTGAGGCAGGAGGATCGCTGGGAGTTCGAGACCAGCCTGGACTACATAGTGAGTTCCAGGTCAGTCTCAACTGCATAGTGAGACCCTGTCTCAAAAAAAAAAAATCAATCCAGTTTAGATATGTGGGGTTTTATGTAGTGAAAAACGGTCCAACTGAAGATTAACTTTATCTGCATTTCAGTGGTATAATGATCTTTAATCAAAGTATTTCAATCTACTGATCCATGCTTTGAAGAGAAATTGACTTTACATATACAGCACTACATGTAACAGGCTGAAAAACAGATGCAGCATGAGCTATCCTTTAATTGTCTCTCTAAATTCGTTGAATGTTTGCTATATGCCAAGTACTATCCTTAGTTATTTTCATTTCTGTTAAGCCTCTTCAAAATTTTTTGAGCTAGATACTGTTATCCCTACTTTTCAGTGAAAAATTGAGACAGGTTTATTTGCCTAAATAGATGTAGCCAATATCTAGCTAATCCTAGCTCCAGAGCCTATGTACTTAATTGCCACACTGTACCACTCATTCTCCTGGAGAATTTGGACACTGCTGAGTTTTTACCTCTGCCTGAACTCTTGATTGATAGAGTTAAAGGCATTCTGAGGAAAAATGTGTACTGTACACAGCTAACTTCTGACTTTAATTTGTGCTAATATGAAAATTTAAATTACTTTGAAGGATATATGCATTTATTTTTAAAATTAATTTTGGATTATGCATTTTAGCTTTTAAAATATATTCATAAAAGTTGAGAAGAAGGAAGTGGTTAGCCATTTGGCTCTACTGAGCCAAAGGACCTATGTAAACACTTCTGTCTTTTTTTTTTTCTAGGGAGATATGAAGAATATCTTTATCCTTCAGGTCAGTGGGATGTAGATGTAATCCTGACATTTGCCATTGTTTATGGAATATCAGGCTATAAAATAATGTTCATTTGTTTTACTTTACTTTGGCTATTTCCTTTAGAGCCAGATTACGAAACTTCAGGTGTATATAGCACAACTGCATCTACAGCAAACTTGGTAGGTATTTAATAGTAGCAAACACTAGTAGTCTGTTATATTCTGGGGCTCTGTTCTAAGAGCTATGCATATAAATGTGTTTAAATGAGAACAGTCCTATGTGGTAATTAATTTCCATTTTGTAGATGAAATTTAAACTAGTTAAGGTCATACCCCTTTTATGAAATTAAATTTTGAGAGATATTCTTAATTTATGTTGGTATAAAAGGAAATTCTGACATTGATCTTGTAGATTATATTGTTATAATTTTTATATCAGAATGGGTCATAAATTGTAGTCAATATATCAAAAGTTTGCTTTTTAGTTATATTACATATCCACTGGAGAGATCTGTCGGAGGATTCAGCTACTTTGGCTGATAGATGCTCTATAATTGCTGAGGCAAGAAATAAAAGGTGGTGAATTGTACACTGGCTCTTACAGCTTTCATCAGACGTGTCATTTGTCACTTCTCTATTTCACTGTTCCACAGAAGGTCTAATGAAGATTTTAACTCCTCTGTGCCTGAAAGGCAAAAAAATAGAAATATGTTAGGACCATTAAGGACTACAATATTCAATTTGATCTCATTCCCATGGATAGAAAACTGGCTTGTTTTACCCTAACGGAGGCAACCTAAAAGTCCCATTCGATTTAATCAGACTCAAAACGCAGGATTCCTTCGTAATATGTGGAACTCCTTATATTGGGTCCATACATAGCTTCTCTTGGTCTTGAGGCATAAATCCAAAAATACAGCTTCACCCCCCCATCCCCATCTTTTCATTGGTAGAGCAAGGTGTGAAAAATTTCAGTAAAATATGAGAGAAACATAGTCATAACATCCTGTATGAAGCAATTCTGAGATTTTTATAAGTGTACAGTGAGGGCCACCAAACTATATGTGGAGACTATTCTCTGGCTTACTATTTATCGAAGCTCTTGGTTACTCTTTTTTTTTTTTTTTAAAGACAGGGTCTCACTGTGTACTTGAGACTGACCTGGAACTCACTGTGTAGCCCAGGCTGGTCTCGAATTCCCAGCAATCCTCCTGCCTTAGCCTCCCGAGTGCTGGGATTATAGGCGTGTATTACTATCCCCAGCTCTCTTGCTTACTCTTAACACCTTTCTTCTATTGGCCATATTTGAAGTAGACATTGGCGAATAGTCCTTTCTTGGTAATTGAATGGATTTCTTATCCTGCTCCTTAGAGAAGATTGAGGGACCCAAGGATTGGTCTCTTTTTACTTGAATGGTTTTAGTTCTGGCTCATGGTTTCTTTGTCTGTGAGACTTAATTTTTCAGATGCTCTGCTTGATTTCTATTGGTTACATATAGCAATAGCCAGGCTGACAATTCTTTTTTTAGATTGTACTACTTTGACCTGATATAATTTTTTGCTTTCTTATCCCTGTTTTCTTTCTCCTTGATTGAAAGTACCATGAGCCTATTAGCCATTGCTGTATGAGCCATACCCTTTTGATATGGCCCTGAAATACTTTGCCCATGTGTAAGGATTTCACTGGGTATTATTTCCTTAGTTGAACTCTTGCTTTGAGATATCTTAAGACACTCAAGAATTTTAACAATTATTTGATTCATGCTGTGAAGTTGAGTTGTGATTTTTGTCTTCAAAGCATTATTTTTTTTATACCAAGGATCAAACTCAGGACCTTAGGCTTGCAAGGCAGGCATGGTGCTGCTGAGCTAAATCCCCAGCCCTCAAAGCATTAATTTTATACAGTTTAGGGTTGAAATAATTCCTTCTTTAAGTCCTTATGAGGGTTCTCTGTTCCCTTTCATTCCTACACACAAACTACTAATTCTTTCCTACACAAGTCTGTCTGAAAAGACCTTGCTATACTCTGCTGATAATAATCAAAACACACAGTACAGTACTAACGTTTGATTTGCTAAACCACTTTTCCCTTTCATAATCTTCTTCCCAGATAAGTTTTTCTTACAACAGGACCCTATTTCTAAGAGGTTATGCTGCATTAACAACCCACCAAACATTCTTGCTAATGTTATACATGTCTAGTGCAGGTTGATAGAGGGCTTCTGTTCATCATAGTCACTCAGGCTGGGCTGATGGACACATACTTTCACAGTCACCTTAGAGTGAAAGAAAAGGAAATGGAACATTGACTGTTAACATTTTTGCCTATATTTTATTATCCAAAAATTTCACATGGCCATATCTCATATGGAACTAAGAAGGGCATTCCTGGCATGTATGTGGGAGAACTAGAACCCAGGAATGCTTTATCACTGAGTTAAATCCTTTTTTTATTTTTTGAGACAGGACTTACTGGCTCAGGCCAGCTTAGGCTGTCCTCAAGCTTGCTACCGTACTGCTTCAACCTCCCTGGTAGCTTGGGTTACAAGCATGTGACACTTGGCTTGAACTGAAATATTTGTGGAAAGACTTGAATCATTATTCTTTATTCTCATAATTATCATTAGCCTTAACCTTAGCAGCTTCATGTACTAATTTTTTGTTTTTACTGTTAAGGCAGTACATCTCTGGAAGGAAAAAAAGTTCTGATAAGTATATCTTTCCCTCTCTTCTCCTTCCTTTGCTTTTCCTCTTTCAGAGAAATAGTATTTTCCTGTACCCCACCACTAGAATTCTCATAGCACACGCTTTTTATACCACCTCTTAAAATGGCCATCCAAATAAAAAGACACATAGAAATCTCAGCATTAGAGGAACGCAAAGAGTGGACATTTTATTTCTGCTGTCTTTTTAGTTAGTTTCTTCTTAAATATTTCTGTTCTGAGGTTATTGCACACCCCAAATCGCTTTCAGTCTTCATGTTGTGCTCTACTTCCATCCCCAGTCACCAGACGTAATTTTTGCTGCTGTAGTCAGTGTTTGTTGCCACAACAGCTTCTCATACATAAGTCTGAGCTCTTAAAATTACTTTTATGAATTACTCAAAAACAAAAGGTCTTGAGCCAGTGAGAAATGGTATTTTGATCCTACTACATCTCTTGTATCCTGTTTAGATAGAACATAGGGACAACAGTGGGTTAACAGCTAGTTCAACTATCTACAGTGTCACATTGAAAGCTTTCTTTTAGCAGAACTATTGTTGGTCCTACTGTGTTTGAAGCTTTTAAGGCAAAAAGGCTACTGAGTAAGTCTTTAAATTTCAGACCTCAACTGTATTTTAGTATCTATACTGGGACTACAGTTGGATGTGAGGAGGATCTCTAGACAGGTAGCAGTAGTCACTTAAATCAGGTAATAGAGTTAATACCTTTTGGAACATTGTCTTAGTCACTTCTGAACTTGAGTGATCTCGAGAGATCACTTTAATTTTAGATGTTGAATCAAAGCAAGTAATTTATTGATGTGCGGTTTGGTTTCTTGATTTTTCCTTTATTCACCTGTATTCTATATTCATTAAAGTCTCTCCAGGACAGAAGACCATGTTCTTCTATGTCTCCACAGGACACAGTTTTCTCATACAACTACCACCAGAAGGTACTCCTCATAGTGTAACCAAGCAGTCATTTACAGTGGTCTAAAAGAGGAAAATGAATTTTTTTACCCTTATCGTACTTCCATGTTCCTTTAAGTATTATTCTCTTTTGATACCTGGTGCAGTGATTAATAAATTCATTCAGCAAAATTGATTGAAGCATCTTATGTGTTTCAGGCACTATTTTGTGTGCTGGCATTAGACTGAGTCTGGTGTCAGCTTCTTAACATGAGTGAGTTACTATTAAATTATTTGTCAAGGCTAAAAGGTACCTGAAACCATAGAGTGACTAAGATTATGCTGGGAAAAAGAAGACATTGCAAAGAGCATCTAGAATAGCCTGTGGATCACCAAATTTTAGAAAATAGGTAGAAAAGAAACATTCAAGGAGAAAAAGAAAAGCAGGAGAGTATAATATGGTTGCTTCATGAAGATGTTTTAAGGAGCAGTCCAGTGGTTACTAAAAGGTCATGCAACATAAGAAATTAAACAGTCTACTAGGAGTTATTGCCATGGAGATGACAGGTGACTTTGGATACAGTTTCAGAGGACCAGAATAGGTAGCAGCCATGCTACAATGGGTTATAAAGAAATGGAGGCTGCCGGTGAGGGCAGTGTCAAGTGTCATCAAGTTACCTTTTATTATCTCTCTATGCACAGCCCCATACTGGATGCTGTGGGAAAATAAATAGGCTGCTCGCCTAAGAAGCTTTGGTCTAAGCAGAAAAAAATTGGAGTTTCATGAAGCTACAAAAAATACAAAGCACCTTTTCTATTTAAAAAATTGATTACATTGGGAAATATATACACACACACATACATACATATACATGTAAAAATGAATGTATATTATGGATCTTTGAAATAATATGCAGGAAATTCAAGTTACCTGTTTGGGAAGAAGTAGCTATGTAGATGAAGGACAGGGTTGGAGGAAACCTTTATACTGTATATAATTCTTTATTTTTAAATTATATAATGTACTTTCAGAAAAACGTTAAAGAACTAAATATAATCTGAGGTATTTTAAAAGAACCATTCTATGTAAGGTTTATTTAAAGATGGATTTTCATTGTTTTAGTTATCTAAACAAAATATTCCTGAAATTTAGGATCAGATAAGAAACTAATACTGTTTTAAGAAACCAAACTTAAAAAATTCTGAACTTTCTTCGCACTTAACAGATGATGGGAAATTCTGCAGTAATTGCAGCTTCCTGTGCCAGTAATGTTCCCGCTCCAGTTTTACCTAGCCTTGTAACAGCTAATCAAACTAGTAGTATTTCGTCCGTTTCCTCACAGAATGCTATACAGCCTCTATTTGTACCTCCACCTGCACAAGGCAGGCCAGGTAGGTTTTTAGTGGTTACATACTTTGGAAGCCTCTTTTCCTATTTATGAATATGCACATGCAACTGTTCTAGTGATTAGATAGGATTACTTTGCTTTGTTCTGTTGAAGAATCTATGAGATTTTGAGAGAGGATTTTAACTTTTTTCTTGTTAAATTGTCTCTGGTAAGATTTTTGTTATTATTTGCTACCCCTAGTTATTTAGACGACTTGTAGTTTCTAGAACTTCGTTTTATAATAGGATAATTAAGAGATGCTTCTTTATAGAATGAATTTCTGAAAAACTTTCTATAAAATATATTCCTGTGTGTAATGGATCATTTTTTTTTGAGACAGGATCTTGCTAGTTTGCTAAGTTACCCACGTTGGGCTCACGCTTGCGATCCTTCTGCCTTAGCCTCCAAGGGCTGGGATCATAGGCATGCACAGCTGCTCACAGCTTAGAATTCTGGTTTTACAGTTTACTACCTGTATTGTTTTGGAAAAGTCATTGAACTTTTTTTATCTGTGTGCTTGAGAGTAGTGATAGTACAAATTCATAAAGTAGTTGTGGAATTTTAGTGAGTTAATGTGATTTAAAATTCTCAGCACAATTCTGTTAGGGTTGTGGCAAGAACAGCATAGCTTTTCAATCTTGAGTCCTCAAAGAAAAACGGAAATTGCAAAACCAAAAACCACAAACAACATCTGCTATAAAATTAGATGACATCGTTTCCTCACAAATCCCCAAATTTAATCAGATAGAGACAAAACACCATTCACAAGACTTGCACACTATCAGAATGTGTGTGTGAGCAAAGTGGTAGAAACACCCAGGATGTTGCTGAATGGATCCAATAATAGAAGAACTCTATTTAAAAGTACTGATCAGAATTTACTGGAAAGTGGAGCAGCCAATTTGGAAACACTGGCTAAAACTGGGAATGAATTTGATCTCTGCAACACTTGGTAGAAGGACTGAAGAGCTTAGAGCAGGTTAATCCCTGAGAATACTCAAAACTGACCTACCAGGCCTCATGCCTTTTACTAAGTTGTTGTTGTTGTTCTTTTTTTTTTATCGTGGATTGAATTCAGGACCTTGCAGGCAGTGGCACCACTGAGCTAAATCCCTGGCAGGGTTGCCTTTTAGGATAGTATTTTTCACTACAGAGAGACTGCTGGGTGTGAGTAAGAATTGATCAGGATGGGAAAAACAGCAGGGTCATATTTAAGTTTGGACAGAACAGAGCCAAGGAATTGTAATTTGTGTTTGAACAGTCCACAGAAATTGTAAGAGAACTCTATGAAGTTAGGAAAATAACCTTGTACCCCACCTCATTTGAAAGTTCATGAAAATGACTTCATATAAAAGTAAACAAAGTTGAAAACATTGAGGTCAGATGCTGTGTATGGATCCTTTAAGGAGAGAAAAGCAAAATAACACACCTACAAATGGTAAAGGTGTGTAGAAATGTACCTACTGAACAAAATTAAGCTCAACAAACAAAACTATAAATACTATTTCAAATTGAGATAAAAATAATTAAAAATATTAACACATTTCCTGCCAGCTTGACCACTGTTGGTACATGCATGACTGTCCCACTAGGAAGCTTTATATAAATTTTATTAGTACATGGCATGGCTGTTTAATCAGGAAATATTTTTATTTTTTTAGTAAAAAGACCAGTAAAAGTCTTACCTCTACCATCAGTGATACAAGTTGCCAGATGGAACACTCATGCATGTACTACCAGTGGTTTCAACCGCCCAGCAGCAAGACATAAGAAATATATCCTTGTCATGAATAGTGTTACAGAATAAGTCAGAATTTTTAAAACTCACATGAGGTGACAGTACTCAGGAAAGAAAAAAAGTCGATTCAGAAATGAAGACTAAACAGTAAAAGCCTGAGAAAATACATACAAACAACAGATTAAAAATGTAAGAAAGGGGAGTCCAAAATTGAAAAAGTCAGATTCAAAAATGACATTGAAGTTAGGAGAAGGAAGTCAAATACTAATATAAGTCCCTGAAAAAGAAAACTGAAGGGAAGACTGTATTAGACAACGTAGAGAATATATGTGGCATTACACTTGTAATGATAGCAGTGTACTAGAGTGTGATCTTTGAGTTTCAGTCTACCAGAAACAGTTACAGATTAGCATAAGACCTATGTAAGTATTAAATGCATAGTTACCTGTAGAATTAAGGCAAAGTGAAGATTGAAAGGTTGAACAAAGTAATTTTTTGTTGTTTGGTTTTGGTTTTGGTTTTTTTTGTTGTTGTTGTTACAGGGCTTGAACTCAGTACCTTGCACTGCAAGGCAGGAGACAGCACCATTTAGCTAAATCCCCAGCCCAAGGAATCTTTTTAAAAATGAGAAAATTGAGGGAACACATATGCAAAGCGTTTTTTTAATGCCTTGAGTAATTACATTTGGTTACTCTATCAATAGCACCCAATTTTTGTGGTCTTTAAGTACCACCTACCTTTTAAAAATATAAACAGCTTGTAAAGAAATGACTGATTCCAGTTCTGGACAGGAAATGTTCAAGATAAGTATAGAGCCTCTTGTCAGTAGTGAGGAAGCTATTAAAGAGTTTTTGGGTCATATTGTAATGACTCGGGACAAATGTGAAATTTAAAAATTCTTAATGATATTTTTAAAACTAGTCAACTGGAAGAGGATAATAGAAAATCAGTTAATTTTCTTAAAAACTGGAAAATAAGGTAAAGGAATCAAGCATTTATTCTGCTTTATTTATATGAACTGTACCATTAAGTAACCAAATAGATGAGGGAAAATGTCTTTTTATAGTATTCTAACTAGTCAATAAAAAAGTGACAGAATATAGAAGTTTTATAGTCCTTTTTGGATGGATAGACATTAAATATTACTAGTTGTTAAAGAGTGTGCTATACATTCAATGTGGTTTGTAGCCCTCAAGGTCTATTTGTTGAAGTATTGTTCCCCATTTTGATACTATTGGGAGGTTATGGAATCTTTGAGCCAGATTCTAGGGGGAAGTTTTAGTGGTCATTGGGGCAGTGCTCTTGAAGGTGATTAGTGGGATATAGCCTTCCCCTTCCTCCTCTTCTCTTTCTTTGCTTTTTGGCTTCCGTGAGGTGAATAGCTTCCTCAGCCACTCATCCCTCACCATAATGTGCTGACCACAAGGCCAAAAAACAATGGGGCTGCTAGATCATGGACACAAACATCCAACAAAACAATGAGCCAACGTAACTTTTTCTTTTTATAACCTGATTACCTCAGGAGTGTTAATAGTGGAAGGCTCACTTAATACAGATTGCAGAGACATACACTATTCCCTATATATGTGCCAAAGGAATCAGTCCTGAATCTGATTCAGTTTCCTGAATCAAGCTACCTATTTGCAAGAAATGCAGAATTTGTTGAACTACAACATGTGTATATACAGCTAACTGAGGAGGCTTGGCAGGTTAGAAGAACTAGGTGCTTCAAAAGAAAAGGAAATAAAAGGAATGAAGGAGGGAATAAATTAGAAGAGTTTCAAGACACCAAACTTTTAAAGATGGGCAAGAGTAAAAAGCTATCTAGCAATATACACTTAGGTCACAACTAAGGAGGAAACTGCAAAGAAGTGATTATTATTAGAATAATGGTTAATTATAGAGGAGGGGGACGGGGATTTAGCTCAGTGGTTCCAGCTCGTGCCTCCTTGCAAGGGCAAGGTCTCAAGTTCGATCCCATTTACCAAAAAAAACAAAAAGAAAAGAAAAGAAAAAGAGGGGAATGACTCACTGAAATGGGCCAAATGAAATTTTTCTCCATGGTGGCTGGGACAGGTTTATTTTTTGACCACATTAAAATAATTCATTAATGCAAACATTAGATTTACTTTTTTTTATTAGTCTCATTTATGAAAAACACGAGATAAACATTAATGATGATAGAAATTTTTCATTAGAAATGTCAATGTGGACCTTGTTTGTACTGCTGTATAATAATTGCAGAGGAAAGCATTGACCACTTCTGACAAAGATCTGAATTTTAAAATGACACTGAAGCATTACAATGCCACATTTTTGTGGAATCATTGGAAACTTACCTTTGAAATACCAGATTTTTTCTAAAATTATTTACTACCTTCATCTATTTTACTTTTTGTTCTTTAAGCCACTTATGAACCTCATCTGTAGCTCTACTTTATTGGATCCAACTGCTTTTTTAGTTCTCATTCTTATCCTGTATATTGCCAAGAAATATATTATTTAATTTCCGCTAATATTTTAGAAAATTTTACTTACCTTTTTCTGGATTACTCCCTTGACCTATACCTAGTAAGCCTCTGGAGTCATGCATCTCTTGGCTAACTGGGAATTACAAAGCTTTTTTTTAAGGCTTATTATAATAACACATTTGTAAGGAATATGAGCTTAGATAGACTAACCTCCAAATTTCTTTTACCTTTAATTCTCTCAGGTCTGTGTTTATTTAACCATCTCTGTGTCTAGTAGTTGGTTTTTACCTAGTGATCATAATTATATTCTGCTATCTTCAAGTAATTGACTTCATTTTATTTGCTTTTTTAAAATATGATTTGAGTTCTGCTTTCAAAGCTATTAGAAATTTTTCAAAGTCATTTTATAGAAATAGTCATAGATTTAGAACATTGAGGATATTCTGAAAATTCTTCCACACAGATGTGGTGGCACATAGTTGTAGTGCTAGTTACTCAGGAGGCTAAAGCAGCAGCACAGCAGGTTTGAGCCCAGCCTGGATAATTTAGCAGGATAATTTAGCTCTCTCTCAAATAGGGCTTAGAATGTAGTTCAGTGCTTTCTGGGTTCAATCAAAATAAAATTGTTTCATCATCTCCTAAAAATTATTTGTCAAATTTTAGATCACCCTAAGACTGTATAAATAAAACTGGGTGTGGTCATGCATTCCTGTAATCCCATCTGCTCTGTAGATTGAGGCAGGAGGATTACAAGTTTGAGGCTAGCCTGGGCAACTTAAACCCTTTCTGAAAATTTTTTTTGAAGGGTGAGTGAGCACTGGGGATGTAGCTCAATTGTAGAGCACACCTGGTTTCCATCCATAGTACTACCAAAAAACAGTATAAATGGTTATATTATTTGTGTTTGTCAGTGAAAGAAAATACTACGTATTTCTTTTTGTTAAATCACTAAAATAATTTACCTAGTGTGCACTGCTGCTATATTAAACTCTGTTAAGACTAAATTTAATCCTTCATTGAGTTGTGAGATGGAACTTTCTATAGTTACTAGGGTTAAAATGATTGTACAGATAACATGGGGATGAAATTTCACACTTTGTAAATTTCTAACTTGGCTAAAATGATTCCGTTAAAGTTGAGGGATTGCAGCATTCATCATGCGTCAAAAAATTCAGCAAATTTAAATGGCATATAAATGTGTGTATGTACGTGTTTTTGCTCACTTTAGTATTAAATGTAATTATATTTTAATTTCATATGTTAAGAACTGTGAAACCTCCTGAGTATTATTTTTAAATTATCAGGTATAGAAAATTAAAGGGATAAAATATTGTATCTAGCTTGTTTTGTTTTAGATTTTGTATCTCCTTAGCAATGGAATCGTCATAATTTAGAATTCCTTGTATTCCTCAAATCTTTCAAAGATTTTCAAAATCTATGATCAGTGTTGTTTAGTTTATCTCTTACTAACTTGTGTACCTCAGGATTTGACTCACAGATTTCTGAAAACATCTATAATTTACATTGGGTATTTGAACTAAATAACTTTCCAAGTTTTGAAGTCAAGCTATAAGAATTGACTTCTTTGACCATATTGGGGACATGAAAAGAGCAGATGAGCTACCGCTTACAAGGTTTTGCAGTTGTGCATTACTACTTTATGCTTTTTCTTGGTTAGTGATCACTTCACCATCTTATCAGTACCATTCTGCTGCTGTTCCTGCTGTTGCAGCCTCTCTCCCACCACCGGTGCCGCCACCTC